TACAGCAGTTCACATATACTTTGTCTCATGACATTGACCACAATTCACCACAATGCAACAGCTCCCCTCCCACTTCCTCCTGAGAGTCACCTCTTCCATGTGTCCATCTCTCCATGTACCCCAGCCCCCTGAGCTGTCTCCCTGTGCATAAACAGCGCTTTTTCTCCCATGACTGTTCTCTCCAAGGAGCGTATCTATGTCAGGTAAATGTTCAACTCATACACCTGCCTATTGTTTGGCTGGAAGCCACAGGTGTGGGTTCAATTCTAGACCTGAAGGGCAGCTAGGGGCCATAGTCTCAGTGGCTCCACCAGGCTCTATCAGAACAGCAAACCTGGTCCCCCTTTTTTTTTTCCAAGTGATTTTTTAGTTTTGTTCTACATTGTTCTCCCTTTCTATCCAGGGTCTCCTACATAGATACCCCTCCGAGCAGTTGACATTGGTAGCTGGGCACCATCTAGTTCTTCTGGTCTCATAGTCATATAGGCTGTGGATCGCATGGTGTACCAGTCGCTAGGACTAATTCTTTCCACAATTCTTGTTACACTTGAGTCCATTGCCGCTGTCACTGTGTCAATCCACCTTGTTAAGGGCCTTCCCCTCTTTCTTCAACCCTCCACCTTACTAAGCATGACATCCTTCTCCAGGTAATGGTCTCTCCAGACAACATGATCAAAGTAGGTGAGACGAAGTCTGGCCATTCTCGCCTTCAAGAAATATTCTGGCTGCACTTCCTCCAGGACAGACCTATTAGTTCTTTTAGCATCCACAGTACTTTCAGCATTCTTCGCCAACACCACAGCTCAAAAGCATCAATTCTTCTTCAGTCTTCCTTATTCATTGTCCAGCTCTCACATGTATATGAGGCAACTGAAAATACCATGGCTTGTGTCAGGCACACCTTAGTCCTCAAGGAGTCATCTTTGCTCTTCAGGACTTGAAAGAGGTCCTTTGCAGCTGATTTGACCAGTGCTATACATTGTCTGATGTCCTGACTGCTGCTTCCATTGGTGTCAATTGTAGAACCAAGCAATGTGAAGTCTTTGACAAGCTCAATCATTTCTCCATTTATTGTGAAGCTGCTTGTAAGTCCAGATGTGAGGATTTTTGTTTTCTTTTTATTGAGGTGTAATCCATACTGCAGACTGTATCCTTCAATCTTCATCAGTAAGTACTTCAAGCCATCCTCACTTTCAGCGAGCAAAGTTGTGTCATCAGCGTATCTCAGGTTGCTAATGATTCTTCCTCCAATCCTGATGCCACATTCTTCTTCATATAGTCCAGCTTTTCAGATTATTTGCTCAGCATACAGACTGAATAACTATGGTGAAAGGATACAACCCTGACACACTCCCTTCTTGATTTTAAACCATGCAGTGTTCCCTTTTTCTGTTTGAACGACAGCTTCCTGGTCTATGGACAGGTTCTTCATGAGCACAATTAAGTATTCTGGAATTCCCATTCTTCTCAATGTTATCCACACTTTGTTATGATCCACACAATCAAATGCTTTTGCATAGTCAACAAAACGCAAGTAAACTTCTTTCTGGTACTCTTTGCTTTGAGCCAAGATCCATCTGACATTGGCAATGATATCCCTCATTCCATGTCCTCTTCTGAATCCAGCCTGTACCTCTGGAAGTTCTCTGTTAATATATTGCTATAACCGTTTTTGAATTATCTTCAGTAAGATTTTACTTGCATGAGATATTAATGATGTTGTTCAATAATTTCCATTCTGTGGGATCACCTTTCTTTGGAATGGGTACAAATATGGATCTCTTCCAGTCAGTTGGCCAGGTAGCTGTCTTCCAAATCCCTTGGCATAACCAAGTGAGCACATTCAGTGGTCATCCATATGTTGTACATCTCAATGGGTATTCTGTCAATTCCTGGAGCCTTGTTCCTCACCAGTTCCCTCAGTGCAGCTTCAGCCTCTTCCCTCAATACCATTCTGCATGGGACACACTTATACTAAATATTGCATGGGCTATACTTCTAAATAAAGGAACTCTAGTGGTGTAGTGCCTAAGGCATTTGACTGCTAACCACAAGGTTGGCAGTTCAAACCCACCAGCTGCTCCATGGAAGGAAGATGAGGCAATCTACTTCCATAAAGATTTACCCCCTTGGAAAACCAATGGGGGTCACTATGAGTTGGAATCAACTTGTTGACAGTGGGTTTTCTGGTTTATAGTCCTAAATATGGATGGGATATATTTACACTAAAAATTATTCATGGCTTTTTTGAAATTCACATTTAACTAGGAGGCATCCTGAGTGTTTTGTTTGGTTTTGACTAAATCTAGCACCTCTCGTTGAAAGGCTACTGAAAAGTTTTCAGTAGGCAACCAACATGATCTAATCTGCATTTTAGGAAGATCCCTTTGGCTGCTTCATGGAAAATGATTTGGAGGGTAGCTGAAGGGAAGTGAAGGCACAAGCCCAGGGAGACTAGCTAGGCTACCAGAGAAGGATGGTTGTGGCCTGGCCCAAGACCAGTGCTTCTCCAACTTCAATGTGTATAGGAATTATTTGGGAGGTCTTGTTAAAATAAAGGCTTTAATTCAGTAGATTGTTTTTTGTTAGTAAAGTTTCTTTGGAACACTGTCACACTCACTCATATCCGTATTATCTATGGTTGCTTTTGTACTATAGCAGTGGAGTTTAGTGTGTTAACCATTTCTTGCTAATAACTGTTTATTCATCTTAGAAATATTTACCCAATGTTTTCTAAGCCCAATGGGTTCTACTTGGCATAAGTTTCAATGGACATTAAAATACATCTATGCACATATAAAATGTAAAACACCACTAATTAGCACTTGGAAACCTAGTAAAACAATTTGTTATGCTAGCAAAAAGTTAAAGTAGACTCCTGCTTGTATTTATTGCTAGCCGTTTTCCATCTCTTCTGAACGTCCTCAATCCCTACTTTCTCATGGGGGGTCTCTGTAGTTAAAAAAAATCACCATGCCACTCCTCGGAAGGAAGGTTAGGTAATCTACTTCTGTAGTGATACTGCCTCGGAAACCCAAGGAGGGGCCGCTATGAGTCGGATCTGACTTGACGGCAGTGGGTTTGGTCTGGTTTATATTAGTTGCAGTCAAGTTGACTCCAACCCATGGTGACTCCATCAATGGCTTATTTTTCAGAAGTACATTGTCAGTCCTTTCTTCCAAGCTGCCTCTGGGTAGACTAGAACCTCCAACCTTTTAATTAGCAGTCAAGTACATTAAGCTTTTGCACCACCCAGGGGCTCCTAGTTATAGGAGGAAAATGCTGACATGATCTTCACCCCTTCTACTCACTCTCCCTGCAGTAAGAGCTATCCTTTCTGTAACCTCTTCTCTATTAAAGAAAGGGAATATTCTGTGTATACCTAAGGGAAAAATCTCTCATAAAACCAAAAGATGATTTTAGTAAGGAAGAGAAAAGGACCACAATTCTATGTGCAAAATTTTTCTTTACTTTCACTTGAAATATTTATAGTTATCACTTTAACAGACCCCGTAACAAAAACACCAGGTAAAATTATCTGCTGAATAATAAATTTACAAGGCAGTATCTCATTAAAAAATATACTACTTTATCATTTATTGGCCACCCCCAAGTTGTCAAAAATTATGAGTTTCTAGAAACTGCTTTGAGTATTTTAGCTTTCTAAGATGTTATTTTATGCACTGATGTAGTTGTATGAAATGGTAGGCTAGTAATACACTAAGGGCAGTAAGTTCATTTTACTTTCTGTGGTTCAAAATTTACTACTAGATAGCAATTAACACTGGCTCCTACTATGCTATCTTCAGAGCAGAGGGAACTAAGCAAGCTGTTTTGTTGTCAAAGTCTTTGTGGTTCTATAGTGTCACAAACGTTGTTATACATATTTTAATTAAATGTGGCTGCTACTCCTTTTCCCCATCCAGGCATTGCATAACAAAAACAACCACAAAAATGAGAGATTATGTTTATGTAAGAGAATGATCTATTTTACTTACAAAGCTGAAGATGTTTGGAGATAATGAATGCAAGATATGTCTTGGTACAGCTGAACAAAAACAAATTCTGCATTGCTCTCATTCACAGCAAAGCTTGCATTTCAGGCCACATTCCACAAAGACCATGAGCTTTATGAAACCATTCTTCCTTTCAGTTTGTATATTTATATCAGAAACCAGTCTTTTCACTTAATTATTTATCTGCAGGTTTGGAAATCCAATTTAAAACTGGAGGTATTGTTCCCATAACCTAATTGGCTACCTTATTTTTTAATAGAGATGAAACAAAACAAAAACAAAAGGCTAAAAACTGTGCTCTGAAGAAGTCTTTCATATATATATATATATATATATAAAATCTCTGGTGGTGTTGTGCTTAAGGCATTTGACTACTAACCAGAAGGCTAGCGGTTCAAACCCACCAGCCACTCCTCGGAAGGAAGGTTGGGCAATCTACTTCTGCCTCAGAAACCCAAGGAAGGGTCACTGTGAGTCAGATCTGACTCCATGGCAGTGAGTTTGGTTTTTTTTTGGTTTAATGCACACACACACACACACACACAACCTCTCCCCCCAAATTTTGTACATTTCAACAAATCTATTCAAATGTTTTATTGAAGTGCCCAGGTGCTGAGGCAGAGATGAGAGATGAAAAGCAAACAAACAAAACAGGTTCTTTTCATGGGGTACCTGAAAGGCAGAGTTGAAAAGAACCCAAAAGAACAAGGCGTGACAAGGGGTTTTGTAAACCCCGGTTTTCTGAAAGAAGGGTGGAAGGAAGCTTGGAGAAGAAAGGTTTGGTCTGCAACATGTCCTGGGAGCATTCTAAAATGAGTATTTTGTAAAGGAGAAATCATTAAAAGGATTCACACATCCATTTGCATGAATTAGCAAACCGGGGAGAGTGTCTGCAATGTCTTCCAAGTGCTGACCTGAAATGGAGGTCACCAATTTCCCCATGACATCAATATGTACCCAGTGATCAAAGATACTTTAACGAACCTTTCCAGTAAGTGCGGAGAGATCCTCGCCCCCAATTATCTGCATCTCATCCATGGACTGGTCATTCTGGAAAAAAAGAAAAAGATAATATTTTAATACACAAGGAAACCTTTAAAGCATTTTCCCATCTACCCAGTTAGTGGCTAGATTGTGCCTTACAAATATAGCACAAATAGCCAGTACAGATCCACGGTTGCCTATGGTTACCGAGAGCCACTCTCCCGCTTCTTTGCTTGAGAGGGAAGCCTTCTAATGGCTGGGGGTGGGGGAGGAGACTGTGTGTGGAGGAGAGACAGAGGTGAAGAGAGAAAACAAACAAACCTAATTTTGGAGCAAAAACCTATGGAAGGTACCTGAGCCCATACTGAAGCAAATGGAATGAGAAAAGACAGTCACACTCCTAGATTTCACTGGGGTCTGGGAGTAAGGAGTTCCCAGGAGAAGGCCAAGCACCTATCAGCTCTGCCAACAAGCCCCAGTGATATCTCTGTGGTGGGGACTCACTGGCGGCCTAGTCCCTCATCTGATGCAGACGGCAAATATCACACAGGCCAGTGATCAGGAGCTTCTGTTGCATTCATTCTGTGACATGAATGGAAAGGCCTCAGGAGCTTTCTTCAGTTCCAGGAATATAAGGGCAAGAAGCATGCTTGCAAGACTTTTTATTCAAATCCCTTTAGAGGTCATGATCATTCACTTTCACAATGTTTATATGTGGTACATTATCCTGTTCTAATTAAACCTCACAAAAAACAAACAACAGAAAAAACCCAGATTGTCATATTAAACATGTCTTATATTGAACATCACAATTGTTGTTGTTGTTAAGTGCTGTCGAGTCCTTTCCGACTCATAGCGACCCCATGCACAGCAGAACGAAACACTGCCCGATCCCGCGCCAGCCCCACAATCCCTGCTATACTTGATCCCATCATCGCAGCCACTGTGTCAATCCATCTCATTGAAGGCCTCCCCTTCTTTCGTCAACCCTCCACCCTACCAAGCATGACATCCTTCTCCAGGGAATGGTCCCTTCTTACAACATGACCAAAATAGGTGAGACGAAGTCTGGCCATTCTTGCTTCCAAGGAGCATTCTGGCTGCACTTCCTCCAGGACAGATCTGTTCTGATCTGTCATCACAATAGGATGACAAAATAGGGAATGAGAGCAGGCAATGTGTTTTCTAGCATCATTACAGATCTGCATTAGAGTAACTGAAGAAAATTCCTGAAGCAAATAGACTACAGGCAATCTACTTTATGATGGAGCAAGAAAGTGATGTAACATTGCAATCTTTTGATCCAACCACAAACCTAAGGGAGAAGACCACATAGGCACTGTATGTGGGACATGCTGAGCTAGGAAATGTCTTAGTTGCTGCAGTTGACAGCTGTTACTTTCACCCATTCAGCACCTTCCTTCCTTACTTTGGCAAGGTAGGGGGAGCTCATTCCATTTGGCTCAGATGGAGCCAGACTTAGCAACATAAGCCAGCTATGCTTGCTGCTATTCTCAGTCTTAGCCTTCCTAGTTACTAGTTGCTGTAGAGGCTACTTCAACTTAGGATGACCCCACGTTTGTCAGAGAACTGTGCTGCATAGGATTTTCAATGGCTGATTTTTTTGGAAGTAAATTGCCAGGCCTTTCTTCCAAGGCACTCCTGGGTAGACTCAAACCTCCCAGCTTGTTGGTTAGTAGACAAGCACATTAACCATTTACACCACCCAGGGACTTCTCCAGTTACTTAAGCCAATGAATTCCATTAGACACATTCTTTGGCTGTTTGAATTGCATTCTGTCTCTTGCAACTGAGAGTCCTTATAGTTACTTTGTCATGGAACTGGTCATATGGAAAGGCAAAAGATAGCCAAACAATCAATATGGCAGTTTTTACCAATAAAACAGCTTTCACATTTTTACTTTCCTGCTTCAAGGGGAAAAAAAATGATGCTAAAATGTTTTTACATATGCTTTGTAAAGCATTCATTCCTTACTGCAGAGGAGTGGAGGCAATACGTGAAGATAAAAACAGAAGCTTATCTTATATTACTTTACAAAATAGTTCATCTTGAGAGTTGCCCACTAAATGAGATACAACCAATAATTTTATTATGAGAACTGATTTTGAAAGGAAAAAAATAAAAAACATCCAGAATTCACTTTTTTTTTTTTTTTTCGCTGTACTGGCATATACAATCATGTATTCAAAAGCAGTCATGTTAGTAGATTAAGAACTTGTCAAAAATATCAAAGAAGAACATTTTCTTGTCCCTTCTACACGTGCTGAAATATAAGAGTTAACACAGGGAGAATTTCTGCACATTAGACTCAATTATGTTGTTAGTAGCAGCAATAAAAATTAAAATTTCACTACCCCTAGAGGATTGGGGTATGCAGTACTGGAGACAACTAGTAAACCACAAAGTTTAATGTAACAAATGAGATTTATACTCTGTCAGATCAGAGTAAATTTCACAATAGTTCTATTGTTATTATCCTCATTTTATAGACTAAAAACATAACACCAAGAAAGCTAAATACTGTGCTCAAAGTCACACAATTAGTGTGTTGCAAGGTATGTTTTATTTAACTCCTTATTTATTCCAGAAGGTTGGTGGTTCAAACCCACCAGCCGCTCTGCAGAAGGAAGATGGGGCACACTACTTCAGAAAAGATTTACTGCCTTGACATGGGAGGTATAGACAACAAAGATGAACCCTTTTGCACATACAGTACTGTGTTGTCAGTGAAGGCAAACATGAGTATATGGGTGGATAGATGGGTAGACAGGCTCAACTATTAGGTATGTCTATGAAGTGGTGAGTGTTCCCAAGTCCATGAATAGGGTTGGCAGACAATGGTCCTATATGTATATTTATATGATCAGTAAGAATTCCCAAGTGCATAGTAGAGCTGACAAGGGACAAGGTTGTAGTCACTTCTTGGTCACAGCCAGCTACCCTGAGGGACTGAGTAGTGGAACCAGTGGGCTCGGGACCATAGTCACAGGGGACATCAAACTCAATTGGCATAAAATACTACACAAAACATTGCCCACCTTCTACTTTGGTGAGTAGCAATTAGGATCTTAAAAGCTTGTAAACAGCCATCTAGATGCAATGATGGGTCTCTCCTCATCCAGAGTAAAGAAGAATGAAGAAAACCAAAGACTCATGGAAACAATTAGTCCTAGCGACTGGTACACCATGTGATCCACAGCCAGTATGACTATGAGACCATAAGAACTAGATGGTGCCCAGCTACCACTGTCAACCACCCAGAGGGGGATCTATGTAGGAGATCCTGGATAGAGAGGGAGAACAATGTGAAACAAAACTCAAAATCATTTGGAAAAAAAAAAGGGGGGGACCAGGTTTGCTGGTCTAATAGAGCCTGGTGGAACCACAGAGACTATGGCCCCTAACTGCCCTTCAGGTCTGGAATTGAACCCACACCTGTGGCTTCCAGCCAAACAAAAGACAGGCATATGAGTTGAGTTGAACATTTACCTGAGGTAGATACACTCCTTGAGAGAACTATCATGGGTGAAAGAAGGGCTGTATATGCACAGGGAGACAGCTCTGGGGGAAGGAGTGCATGGAGGGATGGGGAGGAAGTGGGAGGGGAGCTGCTGGATTGTGGTAAATTGTAGTCAATGTCATGAGACAAAGTGTATTTGAACTGCTATATGGAAAGTGAATTTGCTCTGTAAATTTTCACCCAAATCACAATAAAAAATAAAATAAAAAAAGATTTACTGCCTTGGAAACTATGAGCCAGAATAGACTCAATGGCAGTGAGTTTGGCTTTTTTGGTTTTACTTATTCCTAGTTTATAAATATGTTTTTAACATTAAATTTGTCTGAAATCCACCTGGAATTCACGTTCTTCAAGTATGTAGTCAGAAGGAGCCCTAGTGGTGCAGTGGCAAGTGCTCGGCTGCTAATCCAAAAGTCAGCAGTTTGAACTCACCAACTGCTCCATGGGAGAAAGTGGCAGACTGCTTCTGTCAAGATTTACAGCCTTGGAGACCTAATGGGACAGTTCTACTCTATAGCGTCACTATGACTCTATAGGAATTGATTTGATGCAATGAGTTTGGCTGGTGGTTTTAAGTATATAGTCAAGTGTCCCAATATCATTTATTTTTTTCCCCTAGTGGCTTGAAATGTCATTTTATCATACCCCTCATTCCCATACATGAAGGTCAATTTCTATACTTCTGTTTTGTTAATCTAAAACATCTATTCCAGCACCCAAATCGCACTGATGTAATTACTATAACTTTTTTATGTTTTAATATTTGGTAGAGCAAATTCCACTTTTTTTAAAAAAATTGTCTTGGCTATTTTTTCACACTTATTTTGTGAGTCATTATGAAGATCAAAGGAATGAAGGCAGAAAATTTAAACAAAGCCTGGCACATAGTAAGCACTCAGCTAATGTTTTTTAAAAAAAAAAAAAAATGACTATGACAAACCCAACCAGTTGCTGTGGAGTCAGTTCCAACTCACAGTGATCCAAGCCAATGTGTGCAGACTAGAACAGCTTAACAGAGTTTTCAAGGACATGACCTTTTGGAAGCCCATTACCAGGCCTTTCTTCTGATGCACCTCTGGGGGGGGGGCTTTGAACTACCAACATTTGTTAGTAGCCTAGTGTTTAACCACCACCTAGGGACTTCATCAGCTAATGATAGAGGTTATTCATTTTTGTTTCTCTTTCCTTCCTTCTCTTCCCCAGGAAATGGCCACTCCTCTGTCTTCCACTGGTAAACTGGAGTCTAGACAGCCCTCATTTAATTATTCCAGAGAATAAAATTTGGTCTCCCGTTGAGGTGGGGAAGGAAATTTAGAGTTTCAACTTCCCCAAATACAGACTTTTAACCAGGCTTGTAGATTGTTTTCAATCGACTCCTCACTCTACCTTCTAAGGACCTGGAGACCCTTATATCTGAGCCATTTAGGAATTCTGTTACACACCTCCACTACTAGTCTTTGCATTTCTTTCTGCAGGCATTTAGATTCCCACTTTCTCTGTTCTGCTGAGTCAGTGCCCTTCCTT